TATTACTATAACAAACAGTAATATTACTCGTCAACCACAGTAATATTATTGTGTTTACAGTAATATTACAATAATAGACAGTAATATTAATACAAACACCACAAAAAAATAATAATATTGATGTTGTTGACAGTAATATTATTGTGTTTACAGTTATTTTACTGTCAACGACAGTAATATAATTACGTTGACTTGTCAACAAATCAAAAAAAAATAAAAAAAAATAATAATAAATAAAAAAATATAATATTGCATTAATTTACTGTCAACGGCAACACAATTACATAAATGTAATGTCAACGGCAGTACAATTACGTTAATTAACTATCATTGACAGTATAATTACGTTAATTTACTGTCAGTGGCAGCACAATTACGGTCAACGTTTAGCGGCGGACGTGGAAAAACAAAACAAACCAAACAAAACAAAACAAAAAACTTAAAAAAACACTAAAAAAAGAGACCGCCGGAAACCGGCGAAAAAATCCTGAAGAAAAGAAAAGAAAAAAAAAAAAAAAAAAGAAAAAAGCAAAAAAAAAAGAAAAAAAAAAAGTCAACGCCGGAGACCGGCGAAAAAATCCGGAAGAAAGAAAAAAAAAAAAAAAAAAAAAAAAAAATTAAAAAAGTCAACGCCGGAAACCGGCGTTGACCGCCGGAATCCGGCGGCAAAAAAAAAGTTTTTGAAAAAAAAAAATTTTTGGGTCAAAATTTAATAATTTGTGAAATTTGGGGTCAAATTGAGATTAAATTAAGTTAAGGATGAAATTGGAGCATATTAAATTATACTCCAAAAAAAAGTCAAAATTGAATTTTTGTGGTCAAAATTGAACTTTTATGGACAAAATTGATTAATTTGGATTACAATTAAGAATTGGGTATAAATGGTTGAGGGTAATATTGGGATATACATGAATGTTTCCTTTAGTTATAATAAATATTAAAGGGATGGGTTTATTGGTAAAAGAGATATGTCCCCTAAACCTAGAATAATAAACATGCTTGGTTGGGGACTTTTGCATAAAAATCCCTTATTATTATTATTATTACGATGAGAGTGGGGGTTTCAAAAAAAATAATAAAAGATCGATCGGTTGGAAACAACGTAGGTAGAGGTCGGGGGAGGGGGAGAGGGAGGGGCTCTCCATTGGAGATGCTCTTACTGGACCAGCTTAAATCATTTCTTTATGTACTGAATGATAACAGAACATTGGCAAAACTAACTTAAATCATAAACAATTTACACAATTTAATATTCCAGATGTATATCTCTATTATGCACATCAACAACAATAGATTGCTAGAATTGATTTAAACAATGGACACCTAAAGTATTTTACTGCATTCATAGGGCTAGTTTTATTTTTCATATATAGTATTTCAAATATGTTAAATAAAAAAAATAAAAAAAAGTAAACAAGAAAGAAACTCAATTGCCTGCAATCATAAGCTACTCAGATTAGAAAAGCAATTCAACAAGAAACAACCTCGATTTTATTAAATTCTAAAAAATCAAGTCTCATATAATTCAACGCTCAACATAACAAACTTCAATGCAATTTTTAAACAATATGGTGTTTGAATTTTTTTGTATTCATCCAAAGCAACCACTAGCCAATAATTACCTCTCACTAAACTGCAGAAATCGCATATTTTAAAGATCGTGAGCTTCTGTGTCGTCATAATTGCCCACATTTGATGGATGAGAAGAGGGCGACACAAGAGCAGCAAGTTTCCTAGGAGTAAACAATGGCGGACGAAGAAATGATCGTGGGGAGAGATTAGTAAATTCCAGTGCCTGAAACCTCAATTCCAGTGGGTAGTCTGCTATACAACCGATTCTTGGGCCTGCACCTGTTGACCATTTAGACGAAAGTTGATCGCCCAATTGGTATGATTTTGCGGCCTTCTTTGAGTTGATTCTTTGCAGTATGGACGTTTTCGGAACGTCTGATTTAGGGCTTTGGAGACCACCGGAGAGAGTTCTTCTGTACTCGATTTTAGTTGCGGGTTTGGAAGCTTCTAGAAGATGGCTATCTGCTTCTTCTTCATTTGGAATCGAATCTGGTAGGGGGGAAACTTCGGAGATTGCCTCTTCTACTGACAAGTTCCCGCTTTCGCTGTTGTCGTAGTCGTCTTTCGCCTTTTGTATCTGGAAAATAAAAAACAAACAGTCAATACACATGATTAAAAGAGAAAAATAAAAAAAATAAAAAAAAACAAGCAAACATGCGGAAGAAAAAAATCATGGACTAACAATTCATGCATTTTCACTAGTGGCGGAAATCGAACGAATCGGATCGGAATTAGCACTTTTGGAAAAATTCCCCTTCTTTTTGGAAGTGAAAAACTAATTCCAAATCCGTTCTAAAAAAACAAAGATCGGAAATTGGAATGAGAAAACTAGTTCCAAAATAAATAAATAAATCGAATTGGAATGTGGAATCTCTAACTTCTTTAGTAATATTATTGATATTATAAGTGTAATTTTCTAAAATCAGGATCTAATATGTATTCCAAGTCCTTTCCAAACAAGAAAATCGGAAATATGGAAATCAGTAAAAGCAGTAACCCGAACTTAAAGGCATACCTCAACTTGATCGAGGTTGACTCCATTTTCTTGTAGAAATAATTTGAAGGTGTCAAGACTGTCATCAGTTGGCTTATAGTGTCCACTATAGGCAGAGATAGACTGGAAAAAAACATACAAATCGCATCAAGTAAAAAATCAACAGACAATTCTAAAATTCTTTCGTAACGAAATCATAAAATTTAAATGAAAAAAAAATAAATAAATAATGGTAATATCATCGACAGTACCTTAAGCACTCCGTCATCTGCTACGAGCCTTCCAGCAGCTAGAGTAGCCCCTCCGGCAAGAAAGCTGGAATGATGGAACAATCCTTTCTTTTTCTGCGGGTAAATTAGAAGTACGGTTTTTCAAAGAATCATTTTTTTGGGAAATAGGAGATAGAAAGAGATATATAGATACATCAAACACGTATGTATTATTTCTACTTAATCGAAAAAAGAGCTTCATACCTCCCCACTGTAGAGTCTGTTAGAAGTGCTCATGACAAAAATCCATTTCGATCCAGCTGATCCTTTGTTTGTATCAAGAGGTTCCCCGGTTAATTTACGCAAAATTTTGCCGCCAACAACCACAAATTCGTAGTGTTCTCTCTCTTTCTGACAAGATCAAATATGAAAAATAAAAATCAATTATATACTCCATTTCAAAATAGAATCGAACAATTGTACCACTATATAATGGAAGTTGTATCGATACATACTGGTCCAAGATACTTGATGCATTGTTTACGAAGCTTTGCCCTCGGGCACTCTTTGAGATCAACCTCTTTGCCATCTCCAAGATCCAGCCTGCAAAAAATTTAGTCCCGAAGTCTTAATTTGTTTTCTAGCTTCACATTACAGCAAATTGTTAATTAATTACAAAATTTTCTCCAACAAGATCTAAATCATTACAGCAAATTGTAAATTAATTAAAAAAAAATCACCAATCACTTCCTCTTAATTCTTTCAAATGAGCTACAAACTTAGCACTTATCTAATCTTATTAGTGTACGATTTTTTAATTTTTTTTCAAATGCTCGTGCCGAGTGATTCGAAATAGTCAACATATTTGACCAAAATGATGGACGACGACTCTCTATTGATTCGACATAGTCAACATGTTTGACCACCTCAAGAAACTGGTTCAAAGCACAATAGTAGGGAAAAAAATATGATTCTGACCAGTAGAAGAAGGGTTGACCGGAACTGGCTTGACACCACTCCTCGTAATAAAGATGTAAGCTGTGCCCGTAACGGTGCCTCGGGTCGATCTACAGTCCGATTTCAAATTCCCAGCAAACAAACATGGTAATTAAAAATTTAAAATACATCTCAAAAATTAAGTATATTACAATAATCAAATGCCCAATTTCCAACAACTAATAATCAAAAGTAATAAAGATATGCAATTTCTTACAGCTTCAATCCAGTGTTGGAAAGCCAACTTTTGTGCCTTGGCATCTTTAGACAGGCCCTTGCCCACCTGTCCACATAATATTTTTAATATTAATTTTTTTAATAAAATAAACACAATCAGCCAATACAACTCAATTTCACTTTATTGTGTAATTATTGGAATAAACTTGAATTTGTGGGTTTTACCTTAGAAGCATTCAATCGGACACGGTTCCACCGCGAAGCAGCTGATTCCGGCTTCGAGTAGTTGAAAAACGAGATTGTACTGTGATTTAGACGAGCAAAATCTAGCGCTTGCCACCTCCAATAATTCACCAGTAAAAACAAAAATCACCAAAATTAACAGAGAGAGGAGATTATAATAAAGGCAAAAACAATTAATTACACTTTTCCTAATTAAATATTTCCTGCATGTTTGTGAATCGGTAAAATTAAGTGCATCAAAAAAGATAATGTAAACAAAAAATCGTGATTTTGTCGTCATTAAACATAAAAAAAAAATGGCAAGAAAAAATTAATTACCAGAGTTCTTCAGCCACCACGGCGGTGTCGGCTAACATGCGCCGAGTACGATAGCTCCGATAAACCTTCTGAAGTTTCATCGCCGCAGTGGACGTGCATCTCGCCGGAGGAGCAGCGGCGTCGTTCAATTTACGCGCCGTTTGATCAGTCTCTTTCGGCAGCGGCGGAGCCTCCTCTGAAGATCCGGATATTTCGGAAAACGAAAAGGCGGTAGCACTGAGGGAATTTTTGAGATCGAAATTGGAGAGGATGTGAGACTCGACCTCCATTGGAGAATCAGAAGTTCGGTAAAAAAAATAAAAATGGAAGCAGATTCAGTGAGTTTTAGAGAGAGAAAGTGAAGACGGGATGATGAGGGGTTTTGTATGCATTAGTGGATTTTCCCGGTGAGCCTACCTGTATGTATCATCTTATTTATTATTGTTTCCTCTCACTCGCGACAATTTGGAAGTCTTAGCACGCGCGTTTTTACTGGTCCAATGAATGCTTTGAATTCAAATCCGGAATAATTACAATTTTCACCCCTCGTGATTCCACATTTGGTCCTCCATGTTCATAAAAAAACACATTTAGTCCCTTATAGTTCGTCAGTTAAGGCAATAATGAACACACACTTGATTTCATTAGTACTAACGGAAAATTCACGTAAATGACTAAAATTGTTTAATTTTTAAAATATGAGGAACGAAATGTGTTTTTTTGTAAATATAAAGAACCAAATATAAAATCGGTGCAAACACAAGGGATGCATACTGTATGTTTCCCATTGGCAACGTTTTTTCAAGTCAAATTTGTCCAATAAATTATAATCTCGTGAGGGTGCAAACGAGAAAGTGCAATAGTTTAGTTATTTAACAACTTTTTGTTAATTATATTCTTAAGTATCAAATATAAATTATTGATTTGAAATGTATTTGTGTGTGTGTTCATACTTAAATAACTAAACAATATCTAACATTATCACCGCAGCTTGATTTATTTAATGAATACCAACCCAAAAATAAATAAACAAATTTGCAACTATGAACCACCACACTGATTGCTAGAGTGCTTCCATTTAACCACTATTTGATTACTATAAAATCAATTATTTTTCTTATGTTTTTTGTCTTATGTTGTTTGATGTACTTAAGTTTATTTTACTTAATATTACTATCAAATACACCAATCAGCTCCATTTGGTTGACAAGATAAGATTAGTCAAAATAAGATAAAATATATTAATGAAACTCAATTATTTTATCATAGCTCGCGACGTCCAATAAAAAAAATTCACTAAAAGGCAAGATAAGCCAAGATAAAACAAGATAAACCATGATTATATAATTTTGGCGGAACGACCGAGCAATTTATTGGGATACCAAACATCAAATTAAGTTCAACTATTTAGTTAATCATGACTTATCTTGGCAGCCAAACGAGACCTTCAGTATATTAACTTTATCCCGAAAGCTTTATTCAAGTATAAAAAGAATTGTATAACAATTTAATATAACAAAAATCTCCATGTTAGTTTATTAAGATGACTCTCTGTTCAAGAAAATCGATTCATCGATTAATTTTCGAAGATTAACTATATGAAATCAAATCTTAAAGAAGGTAAAGGTATAATATCAATCACATAGATACATCAATTTCTACGATTCAAAATTTACTAAATTCTTATATTTATGACATTTCACTAAAAGTAGATGAATTTGGAATAGAAAATTTTACTATATGACATCAATTTAAGTCGGCATACTATTAAGGGTTTTTTGTGCATAAGTTCCCAACCAATCATGTTTATTATTATAGGTTTAGGGGTTATATCTTTTTCACCAATAAACCCATCCTTTTAATATTTATTATAAATAAAGGAAACACTCATGTATATCCCAATATTACCCTCAACCATTTATACCCAATTCTTAATTGTAACCCCAATTTAATCAATTTTGTCCACAAAAATCCAATTTTGACACCAAAAATTCAATTTTGACTTTTTTTTGGAGCATACTTTAATATGCTCCAATTTCATCATTTAACTTAATTTAATCTCAATTTGACCCCAAATTTCACAAATTATTCAATTTTGACCCAAATTTTTTTTTCAATTTTTTTTTGTCGCCGGTCTCCGGCGTTGACTTTTTTTTAGTGTTTTTTTAAGTTTTTTTTTACGTCCGCCGCTAAACGTTGACCGTAATTGTGCCGTCACTGACAATAAATTAACGAAATTATACTGTCAATGACAGTAAATTAACGTAATTGTACTGCCGTTGACAATAGATTTATTTAATTGTGCTGCCGTTGACAGTAAATTAATGTAATATTATTATTATTATTTTTTTGTTTGATTTGTTGACAAGTCAACGTAATTATATTACTGTCGTTGACAATAATATTACTGTCAACAACATCAATATTATTATTTTTTTGGGTTTTTTGTTTTGTTTGAGTTATTCACGGAGTAACGTAATAATATTATTGTTTATTATTGTAATATTACTGTAAACACAATAATATTACTGTGGTTGACGGTAATATTACTGTTGTTATAGTAATATTGTTGTCAACCACATCAATATTATTATTTTGTTTGGATTTTTTGTTTGTTTGAGTTATTCACGGAGAAATATAATAATATTACTGTCTATTATTGTAATATTACTGTGGTTGACGGTAATATTACTGTTGTTATAGTAATATTACTATCACTGACAGTAATATTAATTCTTTTCGTTTTTTATTATGTTTACATTTGTTGAACGGTCAACATAGTAATATTACTCTATTACACAGTAATAATGAGTTTTGTTGTGTTAATATTACTGTGTTAGAGATTAATATAGCAATATTACTGTGTTAAACTACGGTCAACATAGTTTAATTTTACTGTGTTTAACAGTAATATAGTTAATATTACTGTCAATCACAGCAATATTGTTGTTTAAACGGGAAAAAAAAAGTTACAGAAAGAAAGAAAAAAAAAAGAAAAAAAAAAGTTTCGAAAAAGTCAACGTTGGAGACCGGCGTTAACCGCCGGTCAACGCCGGAAACCGGCGAAAAAGTCCGTAAGAAAAAAGAAATTAATAAAAAAAAATTGAAAAGTCAACGCCGGAATCCGGCGGGAAAAAAAAAGTTTTTGAAAAAAAAAAAGTTTTGGGTCAAAATTGAATAACTTGTGAAATTTGGGGTCATCTTAAATAAAGTTAATGATGAAATTGGAGCATGTTAAAGTATGAGGGATTATTTTTGTCTTTTACAAAAATCTGGACCATGTATGGACTTATTGATAAAGGAGTTTTTGTCTGGATCTCTTTATGAATAAATATCC